CCTCATGACCCTAGTTTGTTGCAACTTCATCCAGAACATTGCTCATATTTCATATGGGAAAGACAGGTATATGCATATATTCATCTGCCCCATTCTATTTATTTGTTAATTTTCAATAAATGGTAGTCTGGTTCAAACATTCTATAGAAAGTACATGTATATATATTGATTCTAATATGTTGTCTATTTATTGTATTTCAGGAGAAAGAAGAAATTAGAATTGATGAGAATAGTTATCAATTAAATTATCAATTAAATGTATGGAAATTAACAAAAGAATAAGTTCAGTTAGTTCATGCTTCTGGGTTGGGTCCGTTGGCTATCATTCGGCCAGACCGAATTGATCATCCTTTGGTCGCAGCTAATATAGAGAGGTGGCGTTCTGAGACCAACACCTTTCATTTCAACATTCATATTGGTGAGATGTCACCAACACTTTTTGATGTATACGAAATATTAAGACTGGTTGTGGATGGCGACCCAGTCACATGTCGTCCTATCAAGGACCTGTGAAAGTTTATAGAAGATAATTTGGGTATAGTCTCTGATGGCAACTTGGCAATCTTAAGGCATACATGGCTGAAGGTGAATTTTAGGGAATTGCCACCTGATGCAACCCCAATTCAAGTTTATAGATATACTCGAGCATATCTGTTCTTCCTCATTATTGTAACCATATTCGCTGATGCATCAGTTTCTACAGTGCCAACAAGGTTCCTGCAGTTTTTCGAAGACATTGAGGGTGCCAACACATATGCTTGGGGTGCTGCAGCCATTGCATTCCTCTATCGCTCACTTGGAAAATTTTGTACTTTCAAGCGAATACATTTTAGCGGTTCAGCCACTCTCATGCAGGTAACCATTTGTTTTGGTATATGACATAAGGGTAATAGTTTAGACTGTTTTCTTAATATATTAAATATTTATCATACTCAATTTATTGCAGTGCTGGTCATATGAGCATATTATGCATATGAGGCCCAAAGCTCATAGTATCCCTCCAAATATTCTTAAGGCTAAAAGATAGGAGCCACCAAAGAAATATCATGGCAATCTACATAACTTAATGCCTCCCATCAGACAAGAAATTAATAACCTCCAACTTAATGAGGTTAATGTATAATTTAATATTGATTTATTTCAATAGTATTTAAGTATTTGTAATTATTTTTATTGACTGATTGCATATCATATAACAACTGATCTGGAATCCCTATTTCAACCCTGATGATGTCATTTCAGATGATAGGCAGCAGGCATTTCAAACTACAATGTGCCCTACAGTTTTGATATTTGACGATATTGCCAAGTCGTGCATGCTAGACCGAGTATGCCGACAATTTGGAGCAAAACAGGGCATTCTTAAGAATCCCTTGGTTGTTAGTAAGAAGGCACGCAGACAAGTTGGACAGCGAGACTGGCGAAACGTCAATGCAGATAAAATCACTAATTGGTTGTCTCGCCATGTCCGCATCATACCTGATATTCAACAAGATACAGATAATGGGTTGCCCTTAGAGGAGTACAAGACCTGGTACAACTTGGTGTCCCATCCTTTGATACATAATGTCGCTAACCCACCAAAAGACATATTGTAACCTCATATCTATGAATAAGAAGAAGTGGTTCCTGCTCATGAACCACAGTATATAATGAAACCTCGAGGTTATGAGGACCAAATGGTCGTTTATATTGACCTATAAATTCTTATAGGATTTTATTTACCTATTAGTTCTATTCAATTGTTTAAATATGCTAATTATGCATTCTTGTTGTGTAGGTTAGTGCAGTTAAGGCATCTACAGTTATGTTAGCAGAGGCACTTATACTTAGACAGAAGTGACACCCTGAAGTTCTTAATCGCATTAATAACGCGTTTGAAATATTGTCTAAGTTTGTGCCTGTGGATATGGGTGACGTAGAAGCCAAGATGGAGCATTTACAACGTCAATATAATGACGAAGCTGCACCTGACGAGGCCGGAGATGATGGAGTGGGTCAAAGTAGTCGGGCTGTAGAAGACCCAGCTCCCTCCATACAACCTGCAGTTGAGGAACCCAGAAGATATAACACACGAAATAAACAATATCGACCTAAGAGAAGGCGAGGCGTGTAATGGGTTATTTTGTAATGGGTCAATTTAAGGGTCATATAGAGCTAGCTTATTTTTTATGAAAAGTTATAGTATTTATATTATTACTGATCACTAAATATATTGCAGAATCTTCAGTATCACTCTTGATATCAATGTGTGATGTTGTGCTTATGAGCCATCTTGAAAAGACTTGGAGTCTTGGTGAAATTTGATTGTTAGTGGTTGCATATGTATATTGGGTTTGGCATCATATCACTGCCTAGAGCTATCCAGTATACATTCGATATAAATTAATGGGATTTATTGATTTAACATTATTTACATTACTTCTTGTGATTGATGGTGATGAAAATAACAACTACTGTGCATCCAAAATCATAAAATCAGCAATGGAAACATTTGTGATAGCCTTAAAATAAGAAAATAAAATTCATATTCATACATCCAGAAAAGAGTTATTCTCATGTCCATGCATCAAAAAATGATGTCCATTTTTTTATCATGTCAATGCATCTTGAAATCCATGATCAATGTGATGTCTAAACAATTTCGGATGTTCACTGTGAATATCCAAGAAGCTCCTGGATATTCACAGTGAGTTTTCGGATATTCAACATCCGAAAATCTCATATTTTCGGATGTTCAATGTTTGAAAACTTACTATGAATATCCAGGAAGTAAGTTTTCAGATGTTTAACATCCGAAAATATTACTTTTTCGGATGTTCAACATCCGAAAATGGTAATGTGAAAATCCAGGAAGCTCCTGAATATTCACAGTGAGTTTTCGGATGTTCATCATCCAAAAACTCATTGTGAAAATCCAAAAAGTAAGTTTTCGGATGTTCAACCTAAAAAACTATTACTTTTTCGTATGTTGAACATCCAAAAACTCATTGTAAAAATCCAGGACCTTCTTGGATTTTCACAGTACCATTTTTGGATGTTGAAAATCTGAAAATATATCAATTTAGACATCCTATTGATCATGGACATCAAGATGCATTGACATGATAAAAAAATGGACATCATTTATGGATGCATGGACATGAGAATAACTCGTTTCTGGATGTATGGATATGAATTTCATTTTTCTTATTTTAAGGCTATCACAAAGATTTCCAACATTGAAATCATCTATCTCGACACAAAGATTGGCAAATTCATCCATTAGAAGATTTATGACAACAAATAATTTTGATTGCACTGACACAAATTTGACAACAAAAACACAATATTCACTCAATTCATTAATTCATGAAAATCATAATTCCATACAAGAATACAATGTTAACATCAAGCTCACTCTATCGGTTCTCTGCATGTCTTCCTATTTTGACCCTCTGTGTCGTATCGTTTGCACTTCAAAGGCCTGGTGATTGGATGCTCTGTCTCGGATATTCTTCGTTGTTTTTTTGGCCTACTAAGAAGACGTGTAATCCTTAGTGGCAGCACTGTCCGATTGTAAATACTTGTCAACTCAATATCATCCGAGACAGGTGCAAAGGGAGTTTCAAATACCCTTCTAAAGTATTCCACTGTAAAATACTTAAGGCAGTACACAGTGGGATCCTTATGCATGTGGTTAATGGCCGCAATAGCATGGGCACACAGAATGCCATTGAGTTGTCATTTTCTACAACTGCATGTCCACTGCATTAAATCGACAGCATACTTATTCCCAATATAGTGGATCTCAAAAAGTGTGTCCATGGCAGATATAACTTTGTGCAAAAGTCAAGCCTTCATCTTTCGCACGTCAAGTAATTCTTGGGCCTTCGGTACTAACATGTCACTCCAAGTATTACGTAATTCATTATTTTCTTCAAACTTGGTCTTCAACTGTATCCTTATTTCTTCACACATTGTAATGGTCGGCTTCTTTCGAGCCGATAAAATCCAAGCATTGAAAGACTCGGCCATGTTTGATGTAAGATAATTGTATCCAGACCCAGAAAAATAGGCACTTGACCTGATCCATCGGGTCCAATACTTGGACACATATCCCAATCGGGTTGATGTACCAGGTTGTCAAGTTGCCAAATCAATTTAACCCAATTGCCACCCCTAAGGTGTGCCATTGATTGACCACAGATTTCAAAACAAAGTTTCTCAACTATGTGATACAATAGATTATTTGATTTCACATCCAGGCAAGGCTGATTGTGATCTCAATGTATGAACGTAAATAGTCTTATTGTATATAATCCTTGTATATATATGGACCCACCATGTATGAAAGTAAATAGTCTTATGGTATATAATAACTGTATATATATGGACCCAGATAATCTGTATACAAAAAGGGTGTGGTTGGTGCAAGAATCAGGCTTCAAAATAAAAAGTAAAGCCACAGCGTGTAACTCACAAAAAAATGTGAATGTGTAAAAAAATAAATAAAAAATTTACGAAGGCGGCTTCAAAATTTATTTTTGCCTTTAAATTTTCAAAAAGGGTGTTGTTTACATGAGGTTGCAACCTTGAACATTCAAATTAAGGTGCACCCCAAAAAAATATGTAAATGCAACATATTTGTGAACACTTGAAATCAAGAGGACGGATTTGATACACTGCTTCCAATTTATCCGAAAATTTCATTTTCATTTTTTTTTAATATGGATCATTGAGAAGGTGGCTTCCACAGTAAAGCCTTTTTGCCTTCCCTCCTCTGGTTTACCCGTAAGTTTTTTAGGATCCTCCAGAGGCGTTTATATCATACACATATTGTGTATGGAATCTAACATCTGACAGGAACTATTTTAATCTCAACTGTCCATCATGGCAACGACTGGTTTAGACTCCACAGGAAGTATTTCAATCTCAACTGTCCATCATGACAACGACCGGCTCCCTTGTTTGTACTGTGCACCACCACATCCTGTGCATGGTATTGCAGTATACACACCGAAAAATGTAGAAGAAGAACTCTTGCAAAAGCTAGGTGTGTTGGTACCCACCACTGAAACTAGGATTTTACAGTGGCTCTCTGTCTTATGATGAGCAGAACTCTGTAAGCGTAAACGCTAATTTTATTAACCCAAAAAAGAAAACCCTAATTCTGCGCTCTTTCGTTGAAAATCTACATTTTAGCTATTTTTAATCTAGTTGTTGATCTTCTGTAACAGGTTAAGAGTTCCTCTAGGTTTTCTCGCTGACTCCTTGTGCAACTATTCTAAGTATCCATTTGAAAAAGTATGAAATTTGATCACTTCAGCTGTTTTTTTATTTCGTTTTTTTATAAAATATTAATTCTTTTATTATTATTTTGCGTTATTTAGTGGAACCATCATAGATTTGCACAAACTGTCCACTTCATTATATGATTCTCGTTGATTTCTTTTGCTTGAGATTTTGTTTTACATTTTTATAATCAGTAAATTAATAGTCTTACTGTAATCTGGTCTGTTCAGGTTCTCAAGACTGTCACAATAAGGGGCCTCACTACTTTGGGAGGTAAACTTCATTATTTTGGAACCAAGTGTCTCTTTTTTTAATCAGTTGAATCTGAAATTGATGTGCTTTCTGCCTATATTGAAGATTAACCAATTAGGCACAACTTTTTTCTTCGTAATGGTTCAATTAGATGGTTAATTATGCTTTAGTGGGTGTTGTGTTTGTGATTGGCTGTGGTTTGGTACTGAATTTTGTTTGAGTAATTTCATGATGATACTTAAGCATACCTGTTTGTCATCGTTGATCCTATGGAAAAGGCGAAAAGTTTCATTTACTTAACAATATAAGGACCTTATTCATGATTTTGGATTGCGAGACTGTTGTCTTTCGTTGAATGTTGCGGGCCATAAGAATTTTACTCTTCTCATGGGTGAAACCCCAAACCTTCTTGATGGGGGATCAATGTTCTTCACATGCCGATAAGGAAAAATGGAAAAACCTAAGTCATTTACAAACCGTTTGATAGTCGAATGTAGTCATGTGATTTTTTTATCATAATTAATCAACATGCAATTTGGTGAATTGTCATTTCCTGTGTAGGGGTGTTCGATTGTTCTAATTTAAATCATGGTTCCTTGTTTTGTGGTTTTATGGTGGTGGTGGTGGTGGTGAGTAGTGACAATGTGATGGTGGTGGTGGTAGTGGTAGTTGTTGTAGAGCAGGTGGTAGTGGTGAGTAGTGACAATGTGATGGTGGTAGTGGTGGTTGTTGTGGAGCAGGTGGTGGTGGTGGTGATACTGGCTGTGCAATGGTGGTTATGGAGTGAGTGGTGGTGGAGGCTGTGGTGACTGTGAGATGGTGACAGTGCTGCTCAGCAATGGTGGTGGTGGTGGTGATACTGGTTGTGCAATGGTGGTCGTGGAGTGAGTGGTGTTGGTGACTGTGTGATGGTGGCAGTGGTGCTCAGCAATGGTGGTGGTGGTGGTTTTTCTTTTTGGAGAGAGAGAGAGAGAGAGAGAGAGAGAGAGAGAGAGAGAGAAGAGAGAGAGAGTATTTACAGAACTCGTCTCTAGTGTTGGTTTCGCCTACGTGTAGTGTAGCGTAGGTTCGGGTTACCTAAGT